TAGACACTCTAGCGATGTTAGCATTAAGGATCCGTAGATTAAGTAGCAGTAAGAAGTTTATGTATACTTAGCTGAAATAAAATATGTTCAAATGGTCACGTGTTGTGAGAAATTGTAAATATATTTAGAGACTTAATTTTAAAAGCACGTATTCGTTGAATTCATTTGTATCATAAACCAACTAAAATATTTATAAGAAACATTATTTACTTTATATATTTAGAAGCAAACGAGTTAGTTTATAATTGAAACGCAAGCGCTTCATACAACGATTATTCTCAAAAATAGTTCACCGAACTCACCACACATCAATGAGATCTTTAAACGGTGACAACTTCTGATAATTGGCATGCATTTGCTTAACTGGAAACATTGGAATTTCTTTTAGCTCACAAATTGTTTTTTCGTCAAACTGATCTTTAATTATAGAGTAAGCCGTAGAAAGCTCAACATGGAATGCATACTGCCCTTTCTTGACCCAGGCTAAACCCTTTTCAGGTTTCAAAAACCCTGATCCATTTTTTAATTGAAGTCTATTTAGTACTTCTCGAATTATGGAGCTATTTTCGTACTAAAATAATGTAAAGAAAAATAACGTAAAAACACAAAATACGTTAATAAAATACATACCTTCAAGAAATCCCTGTTATACAAAATGTCTTCACATCCAATTTCAAATCTAGCTTCCAATAGTTCGTTCACTGTGCTAATAACGGTCATAGGTACATTAAGCAAAAAGGACATCAAATTGGCAGAGTAAAATTGGTAGATTAAAAAGCCTAGTCCAAGAGTGACCAGAGCAGCACCCCGACCTCCCAATGAATGTGGAAACGAAATTATTCCTGCAAAATGAGATATCAATAGATCATCCAAAATTTTGCAAGGGCGTCTCCTGCTTGTTAAAATGGTCATAAAATTAAGTTGGATTCAGATACATTTTCACAGATCCGAGTCCCATTGTTAACGGCATTACTTTAGTCATATATCACAAATTGATGAGTACTTACTCGTTTGAATATTATAACCATAAACATATTAGGCTTTCATCCGTTTTCAGAGTTGCTACAATGCTTGTTTCGAATGATTCATTAATTATTTTTACTATTATGCAGCTTTTAATATGGTAGAAAAAACGTAGGTGTGTAGTCACTGATCAAAAGCCAATGCAACTGTCTTGCTGCCTGCCCTGGCAGCCTCATCAAGTCAAACCGTCGTGCCGGCAAACCAAATAGACCAAATACCTCCCTGGTTAAAAACCAAAATCAGGGAGAAAAACCGGATACGACGCAGAGCCATGCGTACGCAAGCCCGTATCTAAAAAGGCAAATTAACCGCTTTCAGACTGCGATCCAGGAAGACATGAAAGAACTCAGGTCGCAGATCTGGGATGCTTCCATGGACGAAATTGAGGCTGAAGATAACAACCAATCAATCTGGAAACTGGCCAGGAACCTCACCAAGGAGACCAATGCCACCAATCTAAGAAAA